TTTTTTGACATTTGACATTTTTTTTATGTCTATTTAATAATACTGATGACCTTGTATATGTTTTTTCATAATTATTTAGTAAAGGTACAAAAATTTTGTCAATAAAAGCCACAAATAACATTAAACAGAGTTACAGTTTAAGATACAGCTTCCTTGTTTCCGCTTCTTATAGCCTGTAGCAAAAAAACTTGGAAAATTATTTTTCCAACAGGAATAAATAGAGTCAAAGTGCAAACTTTAAACCCTCATAACTTCGAAATTTTTATAGATAATATAAGATATGGTATCTTACCTTATATGGCATTTTTCTATGGGGCGCGAGTTCTGGCGCACTCTGTATAAAGAAGTCGTATTGCTTCGTCAGATCGGAATTCTTCAAAAATGAGTAATTTCTTAGATAGAGGTTGTGTGTTTGCAAGAAAATTTGATCTGTCAGTTTTATTCAATAAAAGATAAGAAATGTTTTCGTATATACAAAGCATTTTCTTTTCTCAGATCGGAATTTTTCAAAAATAAATAATTTCTGAGTCCGGGGTTGTGCCTAGGTTAAAGGATGAGTTTGCAAGAAACTTTGATTAGTCAAATTTATTCGATAGAAAATAATAAATTATTTCGTATAAACGATTTTACTTTCTGAGATTGGAATTAATTCTTGTTAAAACAATAATTTCTGAGGCTTCTGAAAGGGTTGTTGCTATCAAAGGGTGAGTTCGCCTTGTGTTCATTAATTCTCTTCTTTATAAAATCATTTACTAACCAAATCATCGGTCGTAAATTACGTGCGTTATCAAAACTCTTTTTCACGAAAATTTCGTCTGAAATTTCCTCTACGTCATGAACCTGTGGCTGATTTCACACGACTGCAAAATTATTTTGTAATCAATTAGAAATATTTATTTTTGCGCCGGCCCTAAAACTTGGTACACCCTGTACAAAACTTTTTGGCCCTTCTAAGATTAATTTAAATTTCGATTTGTCAACACATGGCGGGTTTATGCGTTTTCTATTTTCACCACGAGACGAGATGCCGTTGAATAGAATTTTGACGAAAAAAAGAATTGTGTTTGTTTTTGAATACTAAATAGACAATTTTGTGCGGTAATTCCTCTCAACATTAATGGACTTTATTTACTCTAAAGTATCTTTTTTTTCAGAATCTTTGAAAACCGCACAAATGCCTTGTAAAAATCAGATACCGTAGCTGTCAAAAATGTTTAAAAATGTCAGTTACAGTTGTAAAGGCCAAAAAGTTAAATACCGGATTCGTAAGATGTAAACACCATTATCATTCTTCCAACTGTACCCAACACACATTATAGACTTTCTAAAAGATTAGTACATTATACACCAAGGTGGCGAAGACTATTATTATTGACCGAGCATCAAGATTATTACGCGAGGGGCTTCGCCCCGAGCGGAATAAGGTGCGAGGCCTATAAATGTCTTCGCCACCGTGGTGTATATACTATTTTTTCCACTACTAGCCAAATTTAAGGCAAAAGATAAAAAATAATTTTTTTCTTGTAAAAATCAAGTAGCACAGGAATGCAAATTCGTCTTTCCACTAATAAAACAAAAAATCAAGTAGTCTGATGCAGATTTGACATTACAACATGGGGGTTGGAAATCTGCAACGGTAGCAGAAGGTTACATTGAGGAGTCACTGGTACTCAAAAGGTCAATCGCAGATATGCTCCAAGGGCCTTCTACATCTTCAACTTCTGTGGCTTTATCAGTCGAGTCACAGCGTTCACCTTCATCGACTGCATTTCTATCAACCTCATCTTCACCTAATAACATCTATGAAACCAGTACTCTACATAATATGGTTATCAATTTACCAACAACAGCTCTAACTAACACATCGGGTGCAACAATCACTATGACTTGCCACAATTGCACAATTAATTATAACTTTGGGAAACAATAATTTATGTTCATTGTATTAATACTTGTTTAAATAAAGTTCTGTTGTTTCGATAGTCTTCTACCAAAACCAAACTCCGGCTCCCGCATTCCGCTATGTTGTAGTTACGGGATGTCATCCATCACTCATCTGTCATTTATTGGTTGAGCGCGAATTTTAAACTAATGGCATTTTTATTCAAATAATTTTATCGTGTTAGGTAATTTCAAGCAGCGAATACGTTAAAGACAATCTCCTGGGTATACAAAATTACGTTGCACAAGTTTTTGTTAAACAACTATCCCTGCAATCTCAAAACATTTGAATTTGTTCATTATTAACCTAGGTTAACAATTGAAAAAATTATTAACCACTAATAGAGAAATTCAACTTCTCAGTTGGCTAAGAGACGCAATAATTGTCAACTTCACAGCTAGTAGTGGAAAAAAATTAATTATGTGGTCACGTGTTATCGAAATTTAGTTTAGTTAACAACAAAAAGATCTAAAATTTGTTCAGTTAATGTCTATTATTAATACCTAAGTAAAAATCTTGGTAAAAATTAACAATATTTTACTTGTAAGTTCAGGAAACAGAAACTTTATCTATTGGTAAAAACGTATTTTTAAGATTGTTTCATTTCAAAAATGCACTCATTGCAAATTAAAAAAGTCTTCTTTTAAATCTTGATAATTCAGCGTCAATCGGGAAACCTCCAATCACACCAAGGCCACGTATCACTTCTTGCTTTCAGTGGCAGTGGCTTAACCTAAATCTTAATAAATGTTAGTAAACTTCAGTCTGTATTGTAGACACACAAATTATGCCACTTTCTCTGTTCTATTTTAAGTTCATCTAATCAGTTCGTTCAGTAATCAGTAATCAGTAATCACGAAGCGCAGGTCTACAGACTCGACTGGTCAACTTGTCGTGACGTGTTGTTTGCTCCATAAAGTTGTGTAAAACCCCGGCGAAATCGTTACAAAACGTAAGTTGTTAATGAGTGAGATTTTGTGGACTGTTTCCCTTGTATGTTTTGTGTAATACTTTGTAAAGTTTATTGTTTCTGGGTTTATTTTTGTTTTTGTCAGTAAATGACTCATTTTTAAGGTTTGAGATAAAGATAACGATAATTTTAATCGACATGATTTTTATGACAGGAGTTTAATATTTCATTTTTTTAGTTTATACTTACAAACACCAAACGGTTTCATCATGTCATACTTTTCAGATTTCACAACCACGTAACTTATGTATTAAAAAAGTAATAGAAATATATACCAGGTGAATAAAAAGTATGGAACCAAGCGTTTTTTTCGTAAACTAAGCATTTTACGAAAAAAATAATTAGTGTAGCGTAAAGTACAATTAAAATGTGACCATTTATCAAGAATAACATGTTTCGAAATTTCATTTAGTTTTCGAGTTTTGGAAAAAAATTTTTTTGAAATGGCAACCCATCATGTAGGGCCATTTTTGAGACACAAAGTTAAAGCCGATTTGAACACGTGCAAACTTCATTACAATGGCCGTTGGTGAACTAAATTTGCGAAAGGAACGCAATTAACAATTGTCAGGGAAATTATTTTAGGCCGGCGGCAATTTTAACAACTCACTACTTTAATAATTTTGAAAGTACTCAACCACTTTGAAATAATCCTGTCAGAACAGCTGGTGCCAAGGTGTCGAGGTCAGGTCATCATTTAATGATAAGGCAACGCCTGTAAAAATAAAAT